CCAACAGCAGCCATGGCCAAGGGTAAGGGTAAGGGCTCCAAGAAGGGCGGCAAGATCAAGGTCAAGGTCAACCCGGCCGAAGAGAAGGCCAGGAAGCGTGAGCAGGCCCTCAAGGCAAAGAAGGCCATCGAGAACAAGATGTTCCCCGCTCGCCCCCGCGACTTCAGCATCGGCCAGGACATCCTGCCAAAGCGCGACCTCACCCGCTTTGTCAAGTGGCCCAAGTACGTGCGCCTCCAGCGCCAGGAGCGCGTGCTCATCAAGCGCCTCAAGGTCCCTCCTTCCATCAACCAGTTCACCCAGACGGTTGACAAGGCCACCGCCACCCAGCTCTTCAAGCTGCTCCAGAAGTACAAGCCAGAGGACAAGGCCCAGAAGAAGCAGCGTCTGCGCAAGCTCGCCGAGGAGAAGGCCGCCAAGGACACCGCCAACGTCGGCGACAAGCCCGTCGTCCTCAAGTACGGTCTCAACCACGTCACCGCTCTCATCGAGCAGCGCAAGGCCCGCCTCGTTGTCATCGCACACGACGTTGACCCCATTGAGGTGAGCACACGCCGGCCAACCCTGCACCCCAGATCAATGGCTGTTGAGTGACGTGCGTGGTTGTGTGTGGTTTGTGGTTCACTCTTGCATGTCTTTGATGGGTGCTGTGAAAACGTTGGCATCACTGGTGATGTGGCGTCCCTTGCTTGCCCTTGCATGTGGTCTGGTCTTGTTTTGGTAGCGCACCTGCTTTGTCTTTTATTTGATGGGCTCCAGTGCGTGTTCCAACCACAACCACCGCCATGCCACCATGCCCGTGCACGCACGCACCTTGCTGCGATTGTTGTTGTCGGTGCACCTTTCCTGCTCCTTTGCTTGTGTACTTCGACTCGTTGTGTTTGACCATCATCACACAGCGCCATGGCCTCCAGCACCACTTGCGCGGTGTCAGCGACGCTTTGTCGTTGCACGTGTGATGGTCTGCGATGGTTCTCCTTGGCTGCCGTTGTGCATGAATGGCTGGCTTTTTGAGGCAACTTGCCCCACGCGCAGCGTGGTGGCATGACCCTCACATTCTGATTTTTTCGGAATGAAAGCCATGTGGGGTTAGAAGCGGCTCTTTGTGTGCACTTGGTGCGCATGTGCGTGTGTCTGTGTCCATTTCGCCGGTGTTGGCGTGACTGGGAGATGTGTACTCGCTCGCTCGCCTGCTCGCGGGTTTGCAGTCACTTCCTCAGCACTCTTCCCCAACGCGGATGCCACAGGCACCACACTGCCCCCAGCGCCACATTGAGCGTCATGCTTCGATGATCCGTTTATATGAAGACAGTGGCCCACGCTCATGTCCACGTTGTGGTCACCAGCCATGTTTCCACCTGGACAGTTCACAAGTTCTCTTGTGTTGCTGCTCCTTTGTTGGTTCTGGCCTGACCTGTGGTCTGGGATTCGTTTCGGTTTTGTCCGTGGGGCTAGAAGACGTTTTGGATTGCAACTTGCGAGTGTGCTTGCTGGTTTATTGATCGGTTGGTTGGTTGGCTGCAAGTGGAAGGTGCCATGCCATGGCGCTTTGTGGGTTGCTTTGTGCAGCCTGCTGCCTTCCCCTTTGCTGTCCCCTCCATCCTCCAACACCCAGCAGCACATGTTGACCATTTGCATTTCCTGAGCGCTCTTGCACACAATGAGAGCAGCACATGGTTTTTTTCCTTCCAAAGAAAGGCCATGTGTTTGCCTTCTCGTTGTGTGCGAAGCGTTTGTTGATTGTTCATGCTGTGCATACGCACACATGGCAATCACCACTGTCAGCACGCACTCTTCTTGGCGTTCGCACTCTTTTCTCTCTCATGTGTCTCTTGCCATTACTGGCTTGAGTCAACAATCTTGAGTGAGATGCGGAAGCAAGTCTAGCTGTGGTGCTTTCTTCTTCGATGACCACTGTGTTACCCCACACTCATCCCTATGGTTTGTCTGACTCACTCCTTGTTTGCCACAGCTGGTTGTCTTCCTTCCCGCTCTCTGCCGCAAGCTCGACGTGCCATACTGCATCGTCAAGGTTTGTTTGTTGTTGATGCTGTTGGTGGTTATGGTGTGGCGGCGTTTCGACGCTGCGTGTGCTTTGTTGGAGGGGAAACGTTTGTCTTGAGCAAGTTAACGGCCGATCCAACGCACTCCGGCATGCACGTACGCGTGCACGCGCCACGCTTGCTGCTCGCATCTCATCCACCGAACCCCCCCCCCCACGCACGCACGCACGCACGCACAGGGCAAGTCGCGTCTTGGCCAGCTGGTGCACCACAAGAAGGCCACGTGCGTCGCCCTGACCGACGTCCGCCCCAAGGACGAGGAGGCTTTCCGCAAGCTCGTTGACACGCTCAACACGGGCTACAAGAACCGCTTCGACGAGATCCGCCGCAGCTGGGGTGGCCAGCAGCTCGGCCCCAAGACGGTGCACCGCCTGCGTGCCGCCGCCATCAAGAAGGAGCGCGCTGCCGCTGCCATCCGCATGTAAACCCTGCGACTCGCCGCGCCGGCTATTGCATCTCTTTCTCCTCTTTCTCCTCTTTCTCCTCTTCTACTTGCCAGTGTACACTCCGCTGCGTGGTGGTGTTGTTGTTGTTGTTGTTGTGCCATTTTCCTTGGTATCACAGTAAAACACGGCCACCCAAAGCGGTGTGGGGGCAAGCACAACCGAGTAAATGAAGTTGTCACACAACACGACCTCGTCGGTGCTGTGATGGAAATAGTTGAGCGGTTTGGTTGGTTGAGTTTGTTGTGGGTGCACCATTCGCACAGTGGCACGACTGGCGGCGATGTGGAGAATTTGGCGAAATCTTGAACCAATTATCGTCACCACAGCCCGCTCGAACGACAGACCACAAAAACAACTCCACACACACACACACACACACACTCTCTCTCTCTCTCACACACACACACACACGCACACACTCTCTCTTTCTCTCACTAACTCTCATACTCTCGCGTCTCACAGTCGCGGACCCGAGCATCTAGGGCATCACAAGCACAAACAAGAGCACCATGACGGAAATGTCGGACGATCTCGACATCTATGACGAGGAAGAACTGCTGGTGAGTTGAGCTGCTCAACGCGAGATGTGGGAAGGAAGAAGAACGCGATCATGCGTAAGAGAGTGAGGGAAGCGAGCTCAAAGCACGAGCACTGAGGGGACGGAAGCAAGTGGTTTGTGTTTTGTTTTGCTCGAATAGCACAAGCACATGAGCTTGTGTGTGTGTGCGTGCGTGCGTGTGTGCGTGTGAGTATATTACTTGCTTGTGTGGTTTGTGAAGTGCTTGCATTGCCTTGTGCGTGTTTTGTACTTGTCTCACACAAACTCCCGTCGTGGTGCACATGTTCCCTGGCTCGTTCGTTTCTCTTGCCTGACCACGCTACGATGCAACATGCCCAACACAGGGAACTGATCCTGGCGACACAGACAAGGCGGTTGACATTTACGCAAATGTGGAGCAGGCCCCATCCACCGCCGTGACGGCGTCCTCCAAAGAGGAAGGATCAGCAGCTGACACGGGCCGAAGCAAACGCAACGGTGCTGGTGCCGCGGACAATGGCGACGACAGCGACGTCGACGGCGATGTGGTCCCCTTCGAGCGGGTGCGAACCGGCAAAATTTCACAGGTACAGCTTTCTCACTTGTACGGCCCTGCTGTGATGTTGTCGTGAGCGTCCTTGGCTTGCTTGCAAAGCCGCAGCTGCGCTGTTGTTTGTTTGCTAGTGTTCTTGTGCTTGGTCGTGGTGATTGCATTTCGGCTCACTCACATGCACACAACCGCGCTGCTTGGTGCCGGTGATGGGTGTGGCTTAGCTCAAGTGGGAAGGCGCACGCTCTGTGTACGTGGGCAACCTGTGCTGGTGGACGACAGACAAGGACATTTACGATGCGTGCCGCAGGTGTAACGTCAACGACGTGGAGAGCATCGAGGTGTACGAGGACAGGCGCAACGGCAGATCAAAGGTGGGAGCCCTGCCTGCGTCCGTGAATGTGCGTGTGTGTACGTGTGTGTATGCATGTGCGTGTTCGTGTGTGTACGTGTGTGTGAGTGTGTGTTTGTTTGTTTGTATCTGTCTTATTGTCCATATTTGTGTGTGTGTGTGTGTTAGCGAGAGAAAGAGAGAGAGAGAGAAAGAGAGAGAGAGAGTGTGTGTGTGTGTGTTTGTTTGTTTCTGCTTATTGTCCATATTTGTGTGTGTGATGCTCATTTTTGCACAACGTGTTTTGGTTGGTGTCAACGGCTCCTGGTACCGTTGCCAATCATACACAAAGGGAACCATCTCCCCCCCCCCACTCTTCACTCACAACGCACACGCAATTCACGCACGCACGCACGCACGCACGTACGCACGAAACATCTGCATCGGTTTGATGTTAGGGCTTTGCCATTGTGTCGTGCAAGAACTCTGCCTCCTGCCACGTGCTGGAGCGCGAGCTGGTGAAGCAAGCCGTCGACGTGGATGCCTCTGGCACCCCAAAGTTCTTTGCCGCCACCCACTGCCCCAAAACTTCCATGGCCTCCTTCACCGCCAAATACGGGCTGGCTTCCTCGTTCCCGTCGTCCTCAAGCTCTGCACAGGTCCGCCCCCGCCCGCTGTTGTCTCCGTCGTGGTCGCTGTTGTCGCTGTTGTCGCTGTCGTTGGTATCATGGGTGTGGTCGTTGGTGCAAGCGTGTCGCTTTGTGCCACTGCCAATGGTGCTGTTTGTTGGCACCGCATGTTGAAGCTGTGGGTCTTTGGTTTGCATCAACCGCCTACCTCTCTGCTCCTGGTGCATGTGCAACAATCGCGGCAACTGTCATCGTTGTTGTAATTGTTGTTGCTGTTGTCGTATGCATGGTGTGGCGACTCAGCACGTGCGTGTGAATGTGCACCATGAAGCTGGTTGCTTGCCTGCGTGTTGCGCGGGAGTGCTTGTGTTTGTGGTCCCATCCCCGCGCCTCTTCTTTGTTTCGCCGGCATGAGTCACCACCACCTTTGGTTCAGCTGCACTGCACACCTGCATGCATTCAAGCATGCTCACGTGCGTCGGTGCCCCTCTCCCCCGCTCTCTCTCCCTTCCAGTTCCAAGCAACGTATGCCTGCGTTTCGCTCATCCAATTGTCTCTTCTTCCCTCGCCCCCTTTGCTCTGCGTTGTCTGCCGTCTGCCTTTTTTCGTGCACTACGCTGCGTGCTGTCCCTATGCACCACGCATATGCCGTTACCGCCACCGCCACCGCTGCTGCTGTCACTGCTTCGCGCGTGCACACGTGCTGCGCCTATCGACCTCTGTCTTGATTCATGGTGATTGTTGCGCCTTTTCCTTCCTGGTGCACCGTGCACGCGTGTCCCATGTTGCGTACGTTGTGTATGTATACATGCACATGCGTTTGTATGTGCGTGTGTGCGTGTGTGGTTTTGCTCGCTTTGCATATGTGTGTGTGTGTGTGCGCGTGTGTGTGGACAACTGCCTGGCCGTCCTGCTGCTCTCCATTACCGCCGCCGCCTCCGACAACGGCGACAACAACGACGACGATGATGATGATGATGACGACGGCTGCTGCCGCTGCTACTGCTTTTATCTCCACTGTCACTGTCACCGTCCCCTCGTCCTCCCATCTCCACCACCGCCGCTACGACCGCGACCGACATCAACCAACGAGCAGGGTGGTGCGTCGTCGTCATCATCGGGCGGCGGCGGGGGATCGGGTCGCGCGGGCCGCAGCAAGACCACCGCCGTCTCCAAGCCGCTCGTCGCCACCCCGCCACTCAGCATCACCCCTCAGCCAGTCAACATGCCAGGTATGTGTACATGTGTGTGTATTTGTGTGCATGTGCATGTGTGTGTGTGTGCATTGTTTCAAAGTCTTGTGTGATTGTGAGCTGTAGTCATGCGTGGTGTTGATCGTGTGTGCGCGATCCTTGGTGCATGGAACATTTGCAAATGCATGCCACATTCACCCTTAACGGCCATCGATACCCACCATCGATACCCACTACCACCACCACCACCATCACCCGTACTCTCACCAGGTGCCCCGCTGATGTCCACTGCGCCCGGCGTGCGTCCACTCGGGCAGCCGCATATGGGTGGCGGCGGCGGCGGCGGTGGGATGATGGGCCAGCAGCCACGCGGACCGCGGCAGGGTATGCACCCACACCAGCAGCAGCAACAGCACCTCCCCCACCAACAGCAGCCCGCACAGCAGCAGATGCGCATGCGCCCGCCAATGATGCAGCAACAGCCTCAGCCGCCGCAGCAGCAGATGGGCCAGATGGGCCATCAGATGGGCCAAATGGGCCAAATGGGTCAGATGGGTCAGATGGGCCAAATGCCTCAAATGGGGGGCATGCCTCAAATGAGTGGGATGGCGCAAATGGGCGGCGGCATGCAGATGCAGCAGCAGCCGATGCAGACCATGCAGCCGACGATGCAGCCCATGCAACAGCAGATGGGCGGTATGCAGGGTATGCAGATGCAGCCCATGCAACAGCAGCACCAGCAGCACCAGCAGCAGCAACAACCCCAGGGGTACGCTCAGCGTCTTTCTGTTTTTGTTGGATGTGCATGTGTGTGTGTGTGTGTGTGTGTGTGTGTGTGTGTGTGTGTGTGTGTGTGTGTGTGTGTGTGTGTGTGTGTTTGTGTGGTGCTTTTGGGGGTTTTTGGCTGGCATGTCTTTTACAACCGCGCTTCGTGCAATTTCGCCCTCATCTCATCCATTTTTATTCTCGTGTGCAGTGGGCAGTGGATGCAAGGCGGGGCCATGTGGAACAACACCATGCAGCCCATGGGTATGCAAGGTGGCATGGACTTCTCAGGTGTGCAGATGAACGTGTGTGCATGTGTATGTGCACGTGCATGTGCATGTGCATGTGTATGTGTATGTGTGTATGTATGTGTATGGTGTATGTGTATGTGTATGGTGTATGTGCATGTGTATGTGCATGTGCATTTGTACGTGTATGTGTATATATGTGCATGTGTATATCTGCAGGGTCATGTGGTGTGTTTTCGCGCATTCATTGGTTTGGCTACATGCATGTTCGTACTGCTTCCACCGGGACCCTGACACTCACCAACGAGCGCACGTTGCCCCATCTGCTGCATCTACAGGCCAAGGCTTTTCATCGGGGATGGGTATGGTCAACATGGACGGTAGGAGATGCACACACACACACACTCTCTCTCTCTCTCTCTCTGTTTGGTGGAATGTGGCTTCCAATGCGTGTGCAAGCCGCTTTCTGTACTTCCTCTCACACAATCACACGCCATCACACCCAACAACGCACACCATCACGTATCACCACCCACAACACCAACGTATCCATGCACCAACCAACACCTGCGCATTCCACCGCTGGGTACAGGTCGGGGCGTGGTGCGCGGTGACGATCGGCGGCGCGGTGCGGACCGCTCGGACCGACGCAGCGGCCGCGGTGACAGATACAAGGAACGCAAACGCGAGCACAGGTGCACTCATCGCCATCATTGTGGCGTGGTGGCTATCGTGGTTGTGGTGTTCGTGGCTTGTGCTCGTCGGTGGTCGCTGGTGTGTGCAGATTGACTGTGTCCTCGTTCTTCTTGTCCTCGCTCGACACACAACACCTGCCATGCAACACTTCCATTCATTTCGCACTTACCACACATCACACACACACTCACACACACACACTCACACACACACACACACACCACACACACACACACACACACACACACACACACACACACACACACACACACACACACACACACACACACACACACACACACACACACACACACACACACACACACACACACACACACACACACACACAGTGAGGACCGCCATGCTGGCAAGCGCTCTCGCTCCCGACGATGAGCAGGAGATGTTGCAGTCCATGCCATCCCCAGCTGCCATCATTGTGTGTGCATGCGCTTGAATGTTTGGTTATGCGTGACCTTGTTTCCTCGCATGCGCATACTGTGTGTGTGTGTGTGCGCGTATTCGCTTCTCTCCACTTGTTGCTTTGGTTCAAGTGAATACATGACATGACATGACCCGCTGGTTTGTGTGGAAGATAACAAAGCTGTGGTGTGAATGGTAGCCGTTGGCTCGCGTGGGTTGTACATGCATGTAATTTGCGGCTGGCAAAATGACTAACGTAACAAATCAGCACATGGGTACACACACATACACACACACACACACACACACACACACACACACACACACACACACACACACACACACACACACACACACACACACACACACACACACACACACACACACACACCGTTCGCATGATAGCCAGCTCACGCGCTCGTACGACACTCAAACACAAACACAAACGCAAAAGGAGAAGTAACACGCTGTGACTGTCACAATAACATCACCCACACTCAGCACATGGCTACATGCACGGCACTGACCAGAGGTACAGCCAAGCAAAGTCAACCGCGATGATGTGGGGAGGAGCGCGGTGGTCCTACGAAGGCGGCTTTGCACGCTGGCCGGCCGGAGTAAAGTTCTCGTAAGCCGAGATGCTTGTGGATTCAGGCAAGGGGCCCTCGTCATCATCATCATCACCATCGTCATCGTCGTCATTACCGCCCGCGGTGGCAGGCTTGTCTTCCTTAGGCGGGGCGGCCTGCTGTCCGAAGCGAGGAGAGAAGTTCTCGTATGGGCGAACCTCGTCCCCTTGGTCTTCATCGCCGCTGCTGTCACTGTCGCTTGGTGGCGGGGACGACTGGGATCCTTTGCTCTTGCGACGCAGCTTCTCTTCCTTCTTGGCCTGCTTCTTGGCTTCCTTCTCGGCCTTCTTTGCCGCCTTCTTCGCCTCCTTTTCAGCCTTCTTGCGCTCCTTCTCCAGCTTCTTGCGCTCGGCCTCGGCAGCCTTCTCCTCGGGCGTCAGTCCCATTGTTGTTCGCTGTTGTTTGCTGTGGTTCTGGGTAATTGGTGGTTCGTGCGAGGCAACAGCAATGAAGAGGCACGCGTGTGTATGTGTGTGTGTGTGTGCGTCTTGGACAAGAAAGGAAGCGGGGGTGCTGTAGCGGCTGGGGAGTTTGCTGATCCAATCGAGAGCGAGCAAAGGCGGTGGTGGTGGAAACACAAACAAGGAGGAAAGTGTGGCAGAGCAAAAGCAAGCAGTCAACACAGCCTTTGACGAATGTTGGTGAGAATTCTTCGTTAAGTTTCTACAACCACATCTCGCACACAAGCAGCCAGCATGAGCGGCGCACGATTTGGACTGCACAACCTGCAGAAGGCTGCTGGGGCCACCAAACAGGTGTGTGTGTGCGTGCGTGTGTGTTGTGTGTGTGCTGTGTGGTAGCAAAGGGGACATTAGAATAGTGTGCTGTGCTGTGCTGTGCTGTGCTGTGCTGTGTGTTGTGCTGTGTTCTTGTTCTTCTTGTTCTTCTTGTTCTTCTTGTTCTTCTTGTTCTTCTTGTTCTGCTTCTTGTTCTTCTTGTTCTTGCTTCTTGTTCTTCTTGTTCTTGTTCTGCTTCTCCTTTATGCGTCTCACACGGGAGGCGGTAATTGGCGCACTGGGTATTCATCCATCGCAGGCAATCCGTGCTGGCCGCGGGCGGTCGTCGCGGCGCGGCAAGACAGCGGGAAAAGGCCACAAGGGTGCTGGCCAGCACGCGAGTGGACGTGCACGTCTCCTCTTTGCGGGTGGTCAAACACCGTTCTACCGAACCCAGCCCAAGCACGGCTTTCACAACCCGTGAGTTGCATAGATGTGTTGGAGTGTGAGAGAGTGTGTGTAGATGTTTGTGTGAGTGTGTGAGAGAGTGTGTCGGTGTGTGTCGGTGTGTGTCGGTGTAGGTGTGAGTGTAGGTGAGTGTAGGTGTGTAGTTGTGTGTGAGTATGTGAGTGTTCATGGGTTCGTTTGTGCGTGCACTCGTGAACACCATGAAGGGCCTGCTTCGCGAGCTTTGCCTCATCTGCTCACGCACCACCTTCATGACAATGTACTTGCTTTGTTGTCACGTCGCCTCGGCTGCCTGCGCAGCCATTCCAAGGAGTATGACACGGTGAACCTAGATGATATCAGTCGCGTGCTCAAGGCGGGCAGGCTTGACCCTTCACAGACCATCACCATGAAGCATCTCATGGATGCCGGTGTTGTGGGCCGTCAAGTGAAGCATGGTGTGAAGCTCCTTGGCAGGGTACGTGTATTGGTGCGCTTGCACCCGCAAGCATACACCACCATGCCCACGTGCGTGATTGTGACCGCACTGTAACACCTGCGACTGTTGCTGCTATGGCTACTGCAGCTGTGACTGCTGCCACGAAATTGACTGTTACCGCTGCGCGTGTTTGCTCACGCTCGTGCTGCACTGCGCGCGTGCAGGGGAAGGAGAGGTTCTCAGATCCAATCAGCATCGAAGTCAGCAGGGCATCAAAGTGCGTGGTGACCATCGTGCGAGATGACAGTGCCTGAGCGAAGGGCGGGGGATGACAAGACCTGTGGAATGAAGGAGGAGCTACAATGTCATCGCCTTCCGCAGCCAGCACATGCACACATACACACACAGAGATGCGAACACTTGCCATGGATGCATCCAGCAGCTGTCATACACTGCATGTTGTCTCCCCTTTCTCCACTCATTGTGTGTGTGTGTGTCTATGTGTGTGTGTGTGTGCGTGCGTGTGTGTCGTCATCACCACGACGGTTGGTTGCAGGTCGGCCATTGGCGCCATTGAGGAGGCGGGCGGCTCCATCACAACCGTCTACTTCAACCAGCGCACGCTCCTGGCACACCTCAAGGTGGGCTGGTGCTGTTGTGCCCATCGCGGGTTTGTGCACAAGTGTATGTGTGTTTGTGTTGGAATGGCACAATGCTTTGCTGCACGTATGTATCATTATTGTCGCTGTCAGCACTCACATGCTTCTGGCGTGTGTGTGTGTGTGTGTGTGTGCGTGCGTGCGTGCGTTCGTGTGTGTGTGTGCATGTGCATGTGTGTGGATATGTACAGCCACATCGCGTGTCTCGTCCACAGGCACAGGCACGGCCGCGGGGCGCAGATCTCGAGTACTACTCAAACCCGGACAACCGCGGGTACGGCAGCGATGGTGATGGTGATGGCGGTGATGGTGGTGAGGTCCATGTAGGGTGGAGTGCACGCCAGGGCTGTGATTGATGGGGACGTGTGAGTACATCGTCCGTGAACGTGCAGCTGTGGGCGTAACTGTGGCCATGGACGCATTGTGTGTTGATTGCTCGACACCCTCGCTAACAGTTGGACGTGCGGTTCTGTTTGTGTTTGTGTGTGCAGGTATTTGGCCAAACAGAAACAGAAGGAGCAGAGCATGGAGGAGGTGGATTGATCGTCCAACCATCAGTGCTGATGTGATGTGATGTGATGTGATGTGATGTGATGTGATGTGATGTGATGGTGTTTGGGGAGATGGAGGCACCATGTACGGTTTGTCTTATCCTTTGTCCTCAAATAGATAGGCAGTGTGGTGATGTGTGTGTGTGTGGTTTGTGCTCCAAAATGTAAACCATTCCCTGACCATGAGACAACACGACCGCAGCACCACACACAAAGAAGCACATGCAAAGGGTGCTCTTCTGATCAATACGAGGAGGTTGTTGTACCAGCGTCGTTGGGGTGCGTTTAATCCACATCGAAACATCGAAACAAACGACGCGACTCGACTGCACAGGCGAATTGTAACGTAAATCACAACGTGTCGCACACATCCCACCACCACCTGAATGTGTACACCAGCAATACCCCAATACCAGCAACATCGCGCGTCAACGCCACGTCTTGAACACCAGCACCAACGACCACGATCACACTGATGGTGATGATGATGATGACCAAGCAATACCATCAGTCCTCCAACAGGCCTTCCTCGTACTCTGCAATGATGTCTTGCAGATCCTGGATGTAGTGCTGGATCTGCCAGTTGCATGCACCGCACAACGCAAACAGCAGAGGGGCGTGCATGTGTGTGAGTGTGAGAGAGAGAGAGTGTGTGTTAGTGTGTGTGTGTATGTGTGCGTGTCCGCGCGCTCGTGGAAGTACATGCAGACAACAAGGAGAAGGTGGCTGTGCACACACACACACACACACACACACACACACTTTTTCGAGCTGCTGTGTGGGCGTGGCCTCTGTCGTGTTGAGTTTTGCTTTCCTCTGGATGAGCATGAACAGGTTGTTCGTTGCCCTGGCGTATGTGTGTATGCGTGGAGGTGTTATGAAGCGAATGAAACAAAAGGAGGAATTCAGCATATCTTGGCTGTGCACGGAGACTGAAGCTTCACACACACACACACACACACACACACACACACACACACACACACACACACACACACACACACACACACACGTACAGCTTGATTTGTCCGAGGAGGAGTGTTCGCTTTGACGCCGCGTTTTGCACCTGAGTAAACTGGTTTTCCCAATACAGCTTCTCTGTTTGTGCTTTCTCCTTCTCGACTTGCAACACAGACAGCTGCACAATGGAACGCAGACGTACGTGTGTGTGTGTGTGCGTGGTGGAAAAGGATGTGAGTTGGCAGGGGGTCAAGTAGTTCCAGACAACGCTCCGGGAAGGAAGTCAGGGCATACAACTGCTCGTTCACGCACTCGCACTGTCGCACTCGCACTCATTCATTCGTTCACTCACTCAGTCGCACACATACAAATACACAAACACCCTCCCCCCCTCTCTTTCAAGCACTCGTGGGCGTGGTGGTGCCACCTTGTTGTTGCACTTGAGGATGTGGACGCGGTTTTCTTCGCGGAACACAGCCGCCTCCTGCTTCAGCTTGTCCATCAACGCCTGGTTCTCGCGCTCCCGCTCCCGCAGATCCTGTGTTCCCAATGAAACACGTGCGCGTAAGGCAAGGGGTCGGGTTGGTGAGGCGGGTGAGGAGAAGCATTCAGACATAGTGTGTGGAGGGGGTGGCACGGCAAGAATACACAAAGTGCGTCCCGCAGACGTCCAGACACAGGGCCATACACATGTGCAGCAGACGCACGCTTACACACACACACACACACACACACACACACACACACACACACACGCTTACACACACAGACACACACACAGACACACACACATGCATGCACAGACCTTGTTTGTGGCGATGAGTGTGGCGTGCCGGTCAATGAGTTCAGAGATCTCTGCAAACTCGCCCGACTTGGTGAGCACCTGCTTGAGGAAGTCCTCAAACTTCTGGTAGCGGGCGATAATCTCCTTTTGTCGCTGTTTTGTGTCCTTGAGCGTGTGCAGCTGCTCTGTCAACGATGCAATCTCGTGCTCGCGCTGATCAGCAACCTCGCTCTCCTCCTGGGCCTTGCGCTCGGCACGCTCGCGTCGCGCGTCGTTCTCCTTCAGGAACCGGTCAAACTTGAGCAGGTTCTCCTGCAGCTGGTACTCCTTGCGCTCTAGCTCCGCTCGCCTCTGCTTCAGGCTTTCCATGCGCAGTCGAAAGTCTTCCTTCTGTGCCTCCAATGCATCTTCCACCTCGGCCAACTCTTTCTTCTTCTCAAGCAGCTCCGTTGCCGGCGTGGTTTGCTTCAGCACATCCTCCGGCATCTGTCTGAGCGCGCATGGGGTGTGCGCGCGGGTGCGCGAATGAATGTGAGTGTGTGTGTGTGTGCGAGAGAGAGTGAAAGTGAGTGAGCGAGTGTGTGAGTGTGTGTGCGAGAGAGAGTGTGTGCGAGAGAGTGTGTGTGTGCGAGAGAGAGTGTGTGCGAGAGAGTGTGTGTGTGCGAGAGAGAGTGAGCGAATGTGTGCGACGCATGACAGTCGGCAAAGCGATAACATCCCAAGCGTGCATCATGACATTGCCACTGGTGCTTTGCAGAACACTCAGTCGTTCATGCACACACACACAGACACACACAGACACACACAGACACACACACACACACAGACACACAGACACACAGACACACAGACAAACAAGCAACTTACTTGATGAGCTTCTTCTCGACATTTTGGCGGAAGTAGTCGCGCAGGCTCACATCGCTCTTGATCTTCACCTTCCTCTTCGCCTTGCCCGACATGGCTGCTGGTGTTGGTGGTGGTGTTGGTCCTGGCTGCTGGCGAGTCGTCGTATCTAAGGCGAGTATACAACACCACAAATTAATGAATCAACTGTGGCGCCGCCAAATTCAAAATGCAGTGTGTGTGTGTGTGTGTGTGTGTGTGTGTGTGTGTGTGTGTGTGTGTGTGTGTGTGTGTGTGTGTGTGTGTGTGTGTGTGTGTGTGTGTGTGTGTGTGTGTGTGTGTGTGTGTGTGTGTGCGCGCGTGCGTGCGTGCGTGTGTGTGCACTCACACAGCAACTCAGCAAACCGCATCACAGCAGTTGCTGCAGGAACGCCATCTTTGCGACATGTTGTTGTATCTCAAACGCACGACGGGGCAGATTGCGCTGCGCACTTGCATCCCAAAACAAAAGGGTGATGGAAAAGAAAAAGGGTGCATTAAAGAACCAAGAACCAAGAACCAAGAACAAAAACGCAACACACACACACACACACACACACACACACACAGTTCGGCTAAACGTGAAGCAATTGCAACAGACACAGATGGACTCAGACAAACACGTAGGCGATTATGTTGTTGGGGGCCGCGTTGCGACGTATGTGAAGTACTTGAGAGCGTGCAGGGTGGCGGTGGCGCACGTGTCTGGCAGCGGAAGGAACTGTGTATGTGTGTGTGTGTGAGAGAGTGAGCGTGAGCGTGAGCGTATGCGTGTGCGAGATGATCCCACAACCGCTACCCCCATAGATCCCAGCCACATAATACCCCAAACAAGACCAATCCACCCCCACAGCACAGGAGGGCATGTGGCAGGCGTCACCTTTGCGCGGCCATCGGCGCCGATGTACACGGCGTATGTTCCCACGCGCGCAAGCGTCATCTTTGTTAAGTCCACACTGAATTCGGCAGCAAAGTGTTTTTCCAACGCACGCAGCAGTGCAGTGTCATCATCGCCACCAGCCAACCTGCCACCGCAACGACGACACTCGGCTGTGTGAGTGAAGACGTGAAGCAATGTTGATGCAGGGTGGGAGTGCGAGTTTTGTTGTTTTGTGCACACGCACGCACAAGCGCACGTGTGCACCTCCACTTGTGCTGGGGCAGGCCATGCCGAGGATATGTGAGCGTGGATAAGGTCACGGTTGGCAATGGCAGCGATAGGGAACGTACCGCTCCTGCAGGGCCCGGATGGAGGCGGGGTCGACGCTGTATGATATCGTCTGCAGCGACCCGTCGCCCTGATGGCACAACAACACAGCGGTGGCGGTGGTGGTGATGGTGGTGGTGATGATGGTGATACAGAAAGGAGCAACACCCAGGAGGAGCACACTTATCGGCGGGGGAGGGGCAAGGGGCATTATCCATCCACTCGTTTGACGACGTCAACGTGGTGAAGCAAACTGAACAAACGCGCAGGCTCGCATGCACCGGATCAAAAACTCACCGGCACGCCGTACTGCAGAGTCAGGGGTCGCTGCGCCAGCGCCTTGTCTGTTGCAGCTGCAACACACACACACACATACACACACACACACACACAACCGCAAACAATTGAGTTCATGCACATTACTTCAACACACCACGCCACGCCGGAACAGCGCCGGCGACGACGACAACTGTGATGCACGTGCTGTGTCCAACCTGGTGCAGCCCACTCGGTTGCAATCCACGCCATGTCCTGGGGCGTCAGTGCCATCGGCGTCACGGCGCAGTCAAACGTCTCCTGCACACGCAAGCAGCAGTATACACACCGAGTTCACGAGTGTAAGCAGGGGAAGGAAGCAAAGTGGCTGGAAAGGTAAGACAGTGAGGTTAGGAGGGAGGTAGAAGGCACAATTAGACAAGCACACACGTGCACAGACAGACAGACAGACAGACAGACAGACAGACAGACAGACAGACAGACAGACAGACAGACAGACAGACAGACACACACACACACACACACACACACACACACACACACACACGTGGCCCGACCTCGAGCCAGTGGAGGATGGTTCGGGCGAGCGCCGCTGATGCTTTGACGAGGACGAGGGGCAGGTGTGCAAACGGCGCCCGGACACGTTCCACCTTTGCCAGCTGCCCAATGCCGACGGAGCACAGGACCATTCGTCCAGCAAGGGAGGACTTGCCGCCGGCCTGTTGACGCGTGATGGCGATGGACAGCGCAGTGGCGTCATCATCGCACCCGCGCAGCAGCTGCATGCATGTGGTGCAATGTGGGATGGGGCATAAGCGCAACTTGGCCGAGGCATGCACGCAATGCGGTGATGCAATCAGCAAGCGAGTAGGCTTACAGACAGGCAGACAGGCACACACACACACACACACACACACACACACACACACACACACACACACACACACACAAACACACACACACACACACACACACACACACACACACAAACACACACAGACACATATCGCATGCATTGTATGTAGCGCAGGTCAACGCACGAAATACGTGCCCAGTGCGCCTCACCCGTTGGCCCATTTCTGTCTTGCTTACTCCCCATTCATCTCACTCACCCCATCATCATCACCACCACCATGATGGCCACCACATGACCAGTTGCTTGAGATTCTTGAGATGCCACAGCTGATGGATGCGTGCATCAAGGGAAAGTAGGTGTAAGCAAGGGCATGTGGGGCAGCATGTGTCGTGTTGTGTTGTGTGTGTGTATGTGTGTAGGTGCAGGTGAATTGTGATGTAAACATGCATCGCAGCCTGACGAGCACCACTGCCCATGGTTCGCGGTCCACAGATACTTTGATGCGGCCATCAAGCTCCGGGCACACGTACAGCGGCTCAACAAGAAGTTCCGGGACATCCCAATCATCCAGGTCAGGGCCTTGAATGGCTATGTGCACACCCACTCCTTCGTTCGCTGCTGCTGCTGCTGTTGTTGTTTCTGTGACCTGCTGCTGCTTGTATGGCTGGTGCTGCTGCTGTTCACATGCACACACACACGCACACACACACATACACACACTTTCGCACACATGCACACGCACACATGCACACGAACACACGCACACATGCACACACACATGCACACACACACACACACACATACACACATCAGGGCATATGGGCGGATGTGGAGCGGGCTACGCGGTACATGCTGCAAGGGATCATCGAGCAGTTGCAGGGAGATGTGCAGGTGTCAGATTGCATTCAGCTTGCAGGCCATCTGCGTACGCTGCACATGTTCACAGAGAGCGAACTTCGCGTCATCTTCCTCTCCGCTCGCAGCGTCTGGCTCGATAAGGTGGGCGTGGTGCTTTGTGTGTGTGTGGTGTGTGTGTGTGTTGTGTTGTGTGTGTGCTGATGACAAGTTGTTGGCGCGGCAGGACAGCTGCTTGTTCTTTTCAGTTTGATTCAGTGTGTGACGTTCCCTTAACACACCCGCATACACACACACCCGCACACACACACACACACACACACACACACAACGCCCTCGTGCGTGATCAGTGCCTCCAAATCAGCGACAAGGATGCACACCGGTATCTGTCCGAGGTGATTGACACGAGCAGGCGTCAAATCTTCAACATCATGCAGCAGTACAAGGTGCGCCATGTCAGCTGTTGTTCAACTGAAGCGCTGTGGATGTGGCGTGCCGAGCAAATGCTGTTGTGAGGTCGTCACGTATATGTTCCCCATTTCTCACCACCACTACCCTCGTCACCATTGTTGTTACCACCAACCTCACCGCTACCACCACCACCACCACGATCATCAGGCCGTGTTCCCGAGCAGCGCAGTGTCTGCGAGTACTACCATCACCTGTGACATTCTTCACGACTGGTGTCTCACGCGGGTCAGTAGGACCTTATCTCTCTCTCTCTCCGCACACGCACACACACGCACACACACATGTGGAAGGTTCACATGTGCGAGGATGGTTGCCGGCGTGTTGCGGCCGCCATTGCATTCTGTCTGTCTATGCGTGTGCGTGTGCGTGTGCGTGTGCGTGTGCGTGTGTGCTTCATCTTCTCTCCACTGCTCATTCCCCGCCTTTCCTCGCCGCGTGACTGCCACCACCATCCACTGCTCATCTGCAGGTGAACATGTTTCTGCAAGACGTCAACACGCATCTTCCGCGCGTCACGGATCGCATCAGCACGCTTCTCAACCAGGCCATGGTATCATGAACGAGCACACAACACGCACACACACACACACAGACACACACACACAGACACACAGACACACAGACACACACGCAGAGAGACAGACAGACAGACAGACACACACACACACACACACACACACACACACACACACACACACACACACACACACACACACACACACGCATGTATCCTGTTCTGCAATGTCCTCCATGATGATGTTTTCGTTCCTCTCGTTTTGCATGCCACGTTCACCACCGTCACCAACCGCAACCACGTGATCATCACCATACCCTTCACATGCGTCACGCTCACATTACCTCCCAACCTCACCACCACCTCCTCTACCGTCACCTGTATCACCACCACCGCAATTGCCAGCCGTTTGGCATGTCGCTGGGCCGCTGCGGCCTCGACTTTCGCTATCTCCTCGCTCCAATCTTCGAGCGGGCCATCCTCACGCTGTTCACATCGCGTGTGCGCACCGCGTTTCTTGCCTTTGAGAACGACCTGCCCACCACCAGCATGCTCGTGCCGTCGCTCCTCAACGCAAAGACGCCGGCACAGCTCGGTGCGTCGCACGGAGACTCTGTGCGTGCGTTGTTGTGACAGAGTTGGTCTGCCATGGCTGTTTGTAGTGTAAGATGCTTCGTCCCTACTATGAACTCACCTCTATTCTCTCCATTACACACACATGCACACACATGCACACACACACATGCACACACACACACACATGCACACACACACACGCACACACACACACACGCATATACACATGTCAGACGTTGGGTTTGCCGGGTCGCCGCAGGTTCCGCTGTCGCTGATGGCGCATCCAACGCTCGCTGTCACCACAAACGCCGTCCTGGCCGCGCTCAACGAACTCAGAGAGTAAGCGCCTGCACTGCTGTCGGTGCGCAATTGCTTGCATGCACGCAGCTGCACACGTTGGTACAGAGAGGGCGAAAGAGGCAGAGAAGAGCGGCGAGGCGTAGATATGATGCATGCATGCAGGCACGCAAGCAAACAGGCAGCGTGTGAGCCAACAAACCAAACAAATGGCCAATGCAACCTGCGTTGACACCACACCAGGTGCGCGCCGCTGTCGATTGCAGAGGATGCGGCCAAGTCGCTCGCGGTGTGTGCACTCGTTGCTGCACAGCGCCTTCGAGAACACGCAGACAACATGGTGCACTCCTACACAGCGGTGAGCATGCGCACACGTACACCCATCAATCATCTGACTTGTTGTCCTTGATGCTGAATGGTGCACCTTGCGGTCACAAGCAGCACTACAGCGGCTATCCCTCACCCTTCTCCTTACACCACCACCACCACCACCACCACCACCACCACCACCACCACCACCACCACCACCACCACGGGTTCCACTGCATTAGCGAGAGCACGACTGCTATGTGCGGTTCTGCGGGCTGTACGTTGCGGCTGCGGTCCCGTTTCTCTTCAACTGCCTCCGCGCCATCTATCCACCAACCCTCTTCCATGAGCGCGGTGTGCTGGTGAGCAACACTCGCACACATGTACACTAGCACACATGTACACACGTACACCCTCACATGCACACTTGTACTTGCACGTGTTTTGCCTTTGTGTGCTTTGTGTTGTGTGTCTGCGTCGTCGTTGCCATGGCCTTGTTCCACGAGTCACGCATGACACCCTTCTTGCCGTTGCTGACATGATACCGACGACCCGCCATCACCACCCCATTCCCCCCATCACATTTCCATCGCTTCCACAATCTCATCCTCGTTCCACCGTTTCAGCCGGTCGTCGGCCCCACCCGCGACCTCTCAACACTCCTCGACCCAGCGCTCATTGCAACGGAGCTCGAACCAGTCTGTACGTGTGTTTGTGTGTTTGTTTGTGTGTTTGTTTGTGTGTTTGTTTGTGTGTTTGTTTGTGTGTTTGTTTGTGTGTTTGTTTGTGTTTGTGTGTTTGTGTGTTTGTGTGTGTTTGTGTGTGTGATGTGTGTGATGTGTGTGGTCGCTGTTGATATTGTCATGCATGAGTTTATGTGCACGTTCTCGCATGCGTATGCGCCGGGGTCCCTGTGTGTGCATGAGTGCATGAGTGCACGTGTGCGTCACCTCACGTGTCTTCTTCGTATGCCCTCCATGTGTCCCTGCTTGCGTGTGTTTGCAGGTCCCGAGGCGGTTGCTGCTGTCCTGCGCTCGTCACTGCATCGCCAGTCGTCGGCAACAGAAGAGAAGAGGACCGGCAGCAGGCAGAGCATCGACGCGCAGCAGCAGGGAGGGTCACAGGAGGGCGACACAGCAGCGGAAGCAGAGACCGTGCTGGTTGAAGAGTTGCGGGCCCATGGGAGCGAGGAAGAAGAAAAGAAAGAGAGTGGCGAGCAGGACACCACTTCCACACCAAGTGATGCTGGTCATCAAGAAGCAAAGCAGCAACAGCAGGAACAACAGCAACAGCAGGAACAACAGCAACAGCAGGAACAACAGCAACACCAGTCACGCCTCAGCACCAGCAGCAGAATTGAGAACTCCAGTCACGCACAGGAAGTGTCGTTGCATTCGCTCGCGTCCCCCTTTCATACCGTGCAAGTGGCTGATGGCAGCAGTGGCGGTAACAGCGATGGTGATGGTGGTGTCAGCGTACACGTCGACACGCCCGCATTTGACTTTGAGTCCCAGCCAACAGGAGCACACACGGACACCACCACCAGCACCACCACCAGCACCACCACCACAGTCACGACAGCAACGACAGATAGGAAACGCGCTGAGCATGAGGATGCAACAGCCCCTTCATCGTCATTGCCATCGTCGTTGTTGGTAAAGGAAGATGTGTTTGAACAGCCGCAACAGCCGCATGCACAACCGCAACAACAGGAGCAATCGATTGCAGACGAGGCGGCCTCATCCACGGATGGCTCGCATATGGACAGCCACAACCGCTTCTCGTCATCCACGGAGCAGTTTTTCGCCTCGCAGTTGAAAGAGGACGCAGAGAAGGACACACAGCAGCAACAGCAGCAACGGCAACAAGAACAGCAGCAGCAGCAGCAACAAGAGCAGCAGCAGCAGGGCGAGCCAGTGCCACAATCGTCCGTGGATGTGTCATCGCCACTGGGGCGGTTGCACGCGTTTCTGCACGAACACAAAGGGAGCGAGGAAGTCGACGCGTTTCGAGAGCAGCTGCAGAGCGAAGCGAGAGACGACTTCACGGTGAAGCGCATGTCATTACGCAAGGCGGTGCGGGGGCTGCAGTCCTTCAAGTTGACAACATCGGAGCTGATGAAGCTGGCAGATCAGCTCGACCCAGACAAGACCATGCGAGTGCCGCTGGCAGCCGTGTTTCAGCGGTGGCAGTGATGGCGGTGGCGTGTGTGCAGTTGATTGGTGATGGTGCTTGTGCTAGTGTTGGCGTTGATGCTTGTGCTGGCGATGGTTAGTGTGGCCGCTTTCGGTTGTTGCTGATGATGCACAGATGGTATCGGCATGTTCATGCTTTTTCAAATGCGCGGGTTTGAAGGGTTTAGGTCCCGTGCTGGTTGTGGTGCAGTTGTATGTTGATGTTCATTACAGAGGCACTCGAGAGCTGCACGTGCATGTGTACATCCACAGAAGGCACCTCGGCTCACACACGCTCGCACAGACATGCCATCATTTCATCATGCAGTCAAATGCCATCATCATACAATCAAGCGACGCAACAACAACAGCAACAGCACACGCGCATGTATTCCATACATACTCATGTGAGCACATCGCATGTTGCCTCAGCAAGCTAGCACACGAGTGGAGTGCCTTGGCTCAGCTCCGAGGTCATGTTCAACAGCCCTCGCTCAAGCACAGGCGTTGGCGTGGTGGTCCCCACATGCGGCGACAACGATGACGATGATGACGACGACGGTGGTGGTCCCTGTTCGCACTCCTTGGCGTCCTCGACATTGCACTGCACATAGAAGAGGCGGTGCACATATGCACCACTGCAGTTGCTGACGACGTACGTCTTGCCAACATCAAGTGTGCCTTGGTGCAGGTAAACAAGGGGCAGCCGATGTGTGTGTGTGTTGTGTGTGTGTGTGTGTGTGTGTGTGTGTGTGTGTGTGTGTGTGTGTGTGTGTGTGTGTGTGTGTGTGTGTGTGTGTGTGTGTTGGGAGGGGGGAGGGGAAGAAACGCGCCGACATGGATGAAATGAGCGGTCAAAGGCAGGGTGGAAGCAGTGAGAATGAACACATGGACGAAGATACACGCAGAAAGCGGAAAGAGAGGCAGACAGACAGGCAGACAGACAAGCAGACACGTACACGCACACGCGCACACGCACACGCGCACAGGTACCTCCGATGCAGCGGAGGGAGGCTGAAGCGTTTGCATCTGCGACGAGGTAGTCGGCAACAACGAGCGATGGAGAGCGCGAAATGGCGTGGCAGCGCATCACCTGCGTTGATTTGTGTGTGCATGTGCACTCGTTGGGTGAGATGAACGGAGGCGACATACAGATGACATGGAGGCACAGCAGTATGGAAGCTGGTCAACACACACACACACACACACACACACACACACACACACACACACACACACACACACACACACACACACACACGCACACACACACACACACACACACACACGTTTGCAGACCTTGACTTTGAATGTGGCGCATGCCATATCTGGGGTTGCATGCATGAGGGCGCGCGGAGTGGAGTGAGGAAGCACAACGGGACCAGTAGATGAGAGCTGTTGTCGCCGTTGTGATGATGCACGCGAGCGCACAATCACATCCGCAGAGTCCACATCCACGTCATCTGTCCTGGCTGACGGTGATGGCGATGATTGCGCTGGTTGCGACCGCGACGGAGAAGGTGTCGTGGGTTGCGGTGTTGTGAGCAGCAGCCGCTGGCTCTGGGCAGACGCCCACTGTTGTTGTTGTTGTTGTTGTTGTTGTTGTTGTTGTTGTTGTTGTTGTTGTTGTAGGTGTCGCTGCTCCGATTCAGGGTGATGATCCAGATCTCCATTCTTTCCCGTCGCGCCTTGCGCGTCTGCGTCACACCCTCTCCGCTCGCGCACGGGTTCTTCCTCAACACTTTTGTCTGGTTGATGGTGTTGCTCCACTGCCTCCTTTGCTTCATTCTTCGTGTGGTTGCCATCCCTGCTGGGGGTTTCAGGCATATCGCCCACTGCAACAGCTGCACCGGTGTTGTTGTCTTCCTGCTGCACCTGGTTTGACGTCAGTGCCTCACCAGCACCAGCATTCGCAAACGTGCCAGCGTTGTCATTCCCGACACCATCCGCTTGCGTCTCCTTTCCATGTGCTCTGCTCTGTTGTTCCACTCCATCATCACCATCAGTGTCATCATTTCCATGATCATTCGACTCTTCCTCTTCTCTCCGCAGCGATCTGTCATCCTCTTGTTGTTGTTGTTGTTGTTGTTGTTGTTGTTGTTGTTGTTGTTGTTGTTGTTGTTGTTGTTGTTGTTGTTGTTGTTGTTGTTGTTGTTGTCCTGACCAAGGCTTCTTTCTCCACTGCTGTGTTCTTGGTGGTGGCTGAGGTGACTCACCACCACCGCCACCACCACCACGACTGCCATTGTGTTGTTGCCGCTGTGCTCCAGACGAGGATGACAATGAGAGTGCTGGTGGCGGTGCTGGTGGTGAGCGGGATCTGGCGCTGTGTCTGTTCAGCATTGCATCCACCACGCCTTCTGTTTCGCTCGCTTCCGGCAGGGCACTTGGTCGCGCTGCCGTCACTACATGCGCACCCTTCACCGTCGTTCGCTCCGGGACTGGTCGCGGCTTACTCGTTCGAGGCGGCGGCTGCGGTGTCTCGGACTTCTTCGCTGGTGCAACCGCGCTGTTCACGCCCTGGACACCGGGCCCTGTGTCCCGCCCAGTGTACATGCGCGCACGTGTCTGCTGCCCGGTTTGTTGCGTCATGACTGACTGTGCAGCGGACTGTGCGCGCCTCCGCTGCCCATTGAGCGGTGGTGGCGGTGTTGTCCGGGGCTGTGTTGGCGATTCTCGCGTGCTCGCAACGGACCACCGGCCCCCACTTCGATGCTGCTGCTGCTGCTGCTGCTGCTGACGCGTGCGTGTGCGTGTGTATGCATGTGTATGCGTGTGCATGCGTATGTGCATGTGTATGCGTGTGTGTATGTGTATGTGTATGCGTGTGCATGCGAATGTGTATGTGTGTGTATGTGTGTGTAAGCGGCTTTTCCGATGCGCGTGTGCACACGAGAACACGGCCAATGAATGGGCAACAACCAAACCACCTCAGCGGCCACCATGGCCTTTGACAACTCACCGCTTGCGAGGAGGGGAGTGACGATGACAGCAGTGGTGGTGATGTTGCTGGTGCATGAGAGATGCCCAGCTGTCGCTCAAGCTCCTGCTTGTTGATGCTGGTGCTGGTGCTGGTGGTGGTGGGCTGCATGCTGCCAGCGCCAATATCACATGCCCTGTCGGCGCTGCCACTACGCCTGTTTCTGCTGCTGCTGCTGCTGCCACTACTGCTACTGCTGTTGGTATTGCGCGAGCTTGTGCCTGCAGTTGCACCTCTCGCCTTGTCAGCTCCCCTTGCAGGCGCCACCCACCCGCTGCAGAGGTGTATGCGTGAGTGCACACATGTGTGTCAGAACATGCTTTCTCATCTCGCGTGCAGAGGTGTGCAAGACTACGATCCCCTGTCTCCGACACACACACACACACGCAGACACACAGACACACAGACACACAGACACACAGACACACAGACACACACACACCAACAAGCAGGGTGCAAGGTCCACACGGTGTGCACACGCGACACACCCAAGGTCTGACCGGTCTGTGAATCCCGCCTCAATGGCCTCCATCGCCTGCTCTGCCGACAGCGGGGCCGTGGTGGTGGCGGCGGCGAAGGGCGTGCTGTTGCTCGGTTTCCGCTCAAACCGATACGATCCGCCGTCCCTGGTGCCATGGCCCTGTATGTTGGGGTGGGAGAGTGAGGGAGTGAGTTTGTTTGTGTTTGTTTGTTGTGTGTGTGTGTGTGTGTGTGTGTGTGTGTGTGTGTGCGTGTGTGTGTGTGTGCTTGTGTTGTGCGTGCGTGAGCGTGTGTCCTTGTGTTGCCAGTGTTGACAGTGTTGCCACATTACCCTTCCTGATTCATTCACCAAGGCACGTACCGCGCGCACACGAAGCTGTTTGTTTCGATATGCGGCTTCGAATGCAGCACCAAGGTCGTTGTTCAGCTGCTGTGCTTCCGCCTACAACGCCGGCAGTTGCAATGCGGCAAGTGAATAAGTCATGGTGATAATGTGATGGTGGTGATGATGGTGATAGAGCTGATGATGACAGTGCTTGTGGTGATGGTGATGATGACAGATGTGCGCTCGCGGCGTCATGTAATAGAGACAGGACAGTTGCTGAAGAAGCATGTTGGGTACGTACGAGTGTTGCCGTGCGCAGGCCGATGCACTTGAAAGTGCGTGGTTCGCTGATGACAACAGACACATATGGCTTTGATGCGTGTGCCACTGAATACACCACACGGTGCAGGCCAATGATCAAGGGCTTCTTCTGTATATGTTGTGTGTGGTCGTGTGATACATGCGTGTCAGTGTTCAGTGTGGCCAACAGCAGCAATGAGCGCAAGCGTGAGCGTGTCAGCGGCATGTACCTTCCAATAGCGCTTTGTTTGTGTTGGTGCCCCGTGTTCATGTGTGTGTGTGTGTGTGTGTGTGTGTGTGTGTGTGTGTGTGTGTGTGTGTGTGTGTGTGTGTGTGTGTGTGTGTGTGTGCGTGTGTGTGTGTTCGCGTTCGCGTTTAAGGAGGAAACAAACCCTGCCAGCGGCGTCTTGGAACTTGATGCCGTTGTGGGAGATGAGCAAGCTCCCTTCCACGCTTGGGTTGCGCATCTGCAAGGATGGGGACATACAGGCGGACACAGGCAACCAGACACACGTCAGTAAGCAGAGCTTGGGGTTCGTAGCAGCATTGGCAGATGTATCGCATTAGATGCGCGGAATGAACGGAAGGCTGTGACAAGGAATTCCCTAAACACGGACCAGGATCTTTAGGCGGTCGTTGATGAGGCGCTGGTTCTTGGGCTCCGGTAACGTAGCAGCACCGCACAACTAGCGTGGGATGGTGACGGCAGGGGGGGGGGGGGGGGAAGGGAACGGTGGACCAAAGCGAGAGAAGGAAGGAGGTCAGTGCATGCATGTGTGACGAGATCAGGGCCGGGGGAGGAGGGATTGAATGGCAGACGGGTCGAAGTCCACTTGCGCAGAGACAGGCAGGGGCAGGCAGGTAGACGGGCGGAGAGACAGAGACAGAGACACAGGCAGAGATGCGGAGAGAGAGGGACAGAGACAGACAGACAGGCAGAGACGGAGAGACGGACAGACACAGACAGGCAGACTCAGACACAGACACAGACATACATACACACACGCACAGACACACATACACACACGCACAGACACAGACACACACACACACACACACACACACACACACACACACACACACACACACACACACACACACACACACACACACACACACACACACACACACGTACATGGCATTTGTGTCGAGCAACGCGTTGGTATGTGTAGTCCTCAGCATTTGGGAGTTGAGGGGCAACCTGCTCCAGGTCCTCGGCGTTGCTTGCTTCCATCATCAACCTCAAGTCCATGCTCCACTGCTCTGTCCTTGCTTGTGCCCACCTTGTCAATCACAACACGCAAAGTTCCGCTTCTTGCTTCTTCTTACTTTTTGTCGTCGTTTGCCACGACTTCTTTCATTTCCTTGTTTCGCTGTCCTTCCTCTTGCGTGCTCACTTGCTTCACAGCAACCATTGCGTGCTCGCTTGCTTCACATCACATCAACCATTGTGCGTCAACCATCCTTTCACCCACCGCCCTTCCCACTTCAGCTCTGTGCTCTGCCTTTGGGGTCAAAGGGAGGATGCTGGATGCTGCGGTTACAGCCATCCAGGTGGCGCTGTGGAAGGTGCTCGGGTACATTGCGACCATCCTCCCATTCCCCGTCCCTGGCGTTGGCATGGGCGTTGGTGACGAGCACCAGCGAGTGCAGCGCAGCCACACAGACAACGATAACAACACCACCACCGACGACGACGACGATGACGACGGGCCACGCTTTCGCTCGTACCACTCTCCCGCTTCGCTTGCCTCTGCGCTGTCACAGCAACGGGGGCAACAGGGGCAACAGGGGCAACAGGGGCAACGGCCGCATGTCCAGGTGACGCAAGACCACACACGCGTTCCTGTCGCGTTAACAACAAACACCGAGGCAGCGGCTACACATGCCCAGGAGCGGGAACACGGAGTGCACCAGCCACCCTTTGCGATGGAGAGCGACCTCCCGCAGGGAGACGAGCATCACCCGGGCAGCGAGCCACCATGGCGCACACAGCAGCAGGGTGCTGGCACCAGTACTTTGTCTTCAGTGCATTGGACCAACGCCAACAATAACAGAGCGCAAGGCGGCACGGCCATGGACAGCCGCGGTGGTGACGGCGCCGGTAATGGCGTGTTACCTGGTGAATCTGAGATGGCACAGCAGCCACTCGATGCAAGACGAGATGATGGCGATGAAAGCAACGGTGACGGCAACACCCGCGCTGACGATGAGGACGAGGATGCAGATGATGACGAGGAGAACGACCACGATGGTACAGATGACGAGAACGGCGAAGGCGTTGAAGCCGGGTTCGCACGACCATGGCACCCAGTAATGGCAATGCAGCGAGAAGGAGGAGGAGGGAATGTTGCGATTGCGATGGGCCCCGAGGTGAAGTGCGACACAGACACGTCCACGCTGTTCTCAGCAAGCATCCTGACTGACCACGCTGTGTTGGACGAGCGCACGACACAGCTGCGGCTCACAGACTCCAGCCCGGTCCAGTTCCTGCTCTCGTTCACCCGCGTGTCCGAGCAACTGTGCGATGGCGACCTGCGCGAGCTGCAAGTGTCGGGCCTCGTTGATCACGCACGGCAGGCGCTGCTGTGTCGGCACATGCAGCAGGCATACGGGCCCTTCACAAGTGCTGTTGATGACAGCACGACGGCAAGCATGGATAGCGCGCTTCCCTTTACCACGCGAACCTCTCCCTTCGAGGTAACCACCATCCACCTCAACTTTGCACAGGCCTCCACGGCAATCACTGACGACACAGCACGCAGCACTGCTGCAGATGGTGACGACATTGGTGGCGGAGATGGCGACGGTGGTGGTGGTGGTGGTAGCTCATGGACTGCCTTAATCATGGATTTCCCCAGTGTTCTCACGCAGCACCCGCAACGCCCCAGATAGCGCCTGGCTGGCGGTGGTTTGAAGCACCAATAACCATGTACATGCGCTTTCGGCAACGCATGGCTCTTGCATGGCTTCGCTTCTGCCTATCTTTATGTTTTTATGTATCCCCGATCTCCACCGCTTTGACGGCTCTTTGATGGCTCTGGTGTGTGGGTGGTGTGCGTGACCTCGTCAAGCACAACTGCCTGGTGTCATGTCACGTTCGTGCATGTGCAGCCACGGTTCTCCTTCCATCTTCACCATCCAGTCGTTATTTGTGCATTAAATCTTCAGCCGACAAAAAAGGCAAGAGACAGATACACACGTGGTTTGGCGACAAGGAACACACACCAGCACCCGAGAACCCCGTGTCACATCACCGCAGCCATGCCACGCAAGAAGAGCAAGAAGGTCGACCTGATTGACGAGGAAGGGGACAACCTCGGGTTTGAGCTGGACAAGGAGTTTGAGAAGCGCTTCGAGTACAACCAGAAGCGCAAGGAGCTGCATCGTCTGCAGGAGAAGTATGGCGACACGGCAGACCTGGAGTCCTCCGACGAGGAGAGCGAAGATGAGGATGCCGAAGGTGTGCGCGTGTGTGTTGTGCATGCATACATGTGTGAGTGAGGGTGTGCGTGTGTGCGCGTATGTGTGCGTGTGTGCGTGTGTATGTGTGCGTGTATTTGCGTACGTGTATTTGCGTACGTGTATGTGTGCGTGTGTATGTGCGTGTGCGCGTGTGTGCGTGCGCATGTGCCCGGGTTTGTGTTGTGCGCGTGAGTGCGTGCACATGCTCGAGACTCTTGCTTTGATGTGCGTGGTTGCAGACGCTGTGTGCCATCTGTTGCTCATGGTACTGGGTGTTGGTAATGTGTACAGCCGACACGCCCGCAACTGAGCGAGGCTTCCTGCGCACACTGTCCCTGCTGAAGGGCAACGTCCCACAGCTCTTGGACACAAAGGAGCCGCTGTATGAGGAGGACGACAGCCAGGAGGGCGGTGATGGCGATAACGATGACGAAGAGAAGAATGAGAAAAAGAAGAAGAAGAAGGATAAGCCGATGACCCTGAAGGATCACGAGCGCAGGCGGATATTGACGCGTCAGACGGATGCCATGCTCAGTGACGACGATGAGGAGGAAATTGGCAAGGCCACCGGTGAAAACGCAGACGACCTTCGCACACAGTTTGCCCTCGAAGGTGCGCAGCCCGTGCGCTGTGTGCGTGTGTGCGTGCGTGCGTGTATGTGTGTGCGTGTGCGTGTGTGTATGTGTGTGTATTCGTGTGTGTGCGTGTGCGATAATACCTGGTGGTTGGAGAGTCACATGCGTTTGTTGCTCACGATGTGCGATGCTTCGTGTAGGCGGTGATGATGACGACGACGTGGATGCCCTGCTGCAGAAGAAGGAAATATCCACGGAGGAAAAGGAGAAGCAGCAAGCAGGTGCGATAGGCAATGGGTGTTGTGTTGTGCGGCATGTGCAGTGGACTCGCGCGCGCACGTTTGTGTTTTGCGTGTTGTGGAGGTCTCTGCTTCCATCTGCCACTCTGCCAACCTTGGTCGCCTGGACCCGCCCCTTCATGTTCGCGCTAATCCTTATTTCCATCACTTGTTGTGTTTCCCGCAGACTACCTGGAGTGGCTGCAAGGCAGAGAGATTGAGCTGAACCGCAAGGTGTCCATGTGTGCGTGTGTGTGCGTGTGCGTATGCACGTGTGTGTGTGTGTGCGTGCAGGTTGCTGGCATGACTCAGACTCGTGGCTCCCTCAATATCAACGTGCTTAAGCGGCTCTCGATGAGAAATCACACACACACACACACTTACACACACACACACACACTTACACACACACACACTCACACACACACACACACACTCACACACACACACCACACACACACACCACTCACACACACACACACACACACACACACACACACACTCACACCCTCACACACATATGCGCATCCTCCCTTGTGTTTCTTCCATTTCGTGTTCTGTTTCCCGCCAAAATAGATGAAAGCGGAGCTGCAGCCGCTGCGGCGGTACTGGACAGACAACACGCTGAGCAGCGAGGACAAGTTTCTTCGGGATTACATCACGCGCCGCATGTGGCGCAATGACGGCGGAGAGGACGACGACACCATCAATTACTTTGACCCGGTGCGCACAATGGTGGTGGTTGTGGGGTGGTTGTGGGGGTGGTTGTGGGGGTGGTTGTGGGGGTGGTTGTGGGGTGCAGTCTCTCAGGGGAAGAGCGGGGTTGCTCGACAATGGGAGGACAAACGGCAGCACAAGGGGAGCTTGGATGGATGTGGCATGTGACTCTTGCATCGCACCTCACGACCACCACCACCACCACCACCACCACCACCACCACCACCACCACCACCACCACCACCACCACCACCACCACCTACGAATCTACATGGCACTTAACCTCACTTCTCACATCTGTTGTGCTGCGCTTTATCAGGAGGTTGACAACGAGGACGATGAGCACGTTGAGCGGACGGAGGAGTACGAGAGGCAATACAACTTCCGCTTCGAGGAGCCGGGCGCCACTGAGGTTCGCGACATGTGTGTGTGTGTGGATAGGTGTGTGCATGTGTATGTGTATGCATGTGTATGTGTGTGCATGTGTGTGTGTGTGTGTACGTGTGTGTACGTGTGTGTATGTGTTCATGTGAACTCGGACGTGCGAGCCATGTTACTCGTGTTGTTTAATTTGTGTAATCCACATCATCGGGTTCAATACAGTATCCACGATATCCATTCACCTGCATGCACACCACCACCACCACCACCACCACCATGACCGTGTGCAGATCAAGTCGTACCCGCGCGTCATTGCGGCGTCTGCTCGACGCGAAAAGGATACGCGCAAGGCCGCCCGCCAGCGCAAGAAGGAGCGCAAGGAGCTGGTGAGGCCCCAGCCTGCTGTTGCTGGTGCTGGTGCTGTTGATGTGTTGCTGTTGTTGTGATGTGTTGCTGTTGTTGTCGTTGTTGTGTCGTGTTTTGTGCTGTGGAGTGGTTACAGCGCGATGATAACGCCACTTGCGCATCAACGTGCACATGCAACTGCATTGGGGCTACGGAAATGCTGACAGCACGTGTGCACGTGCATGCCTGCGTGGTTGCGTGCCATTTCTCGCCCCCGCGGCTGGCCCTCTGCAGGAGAAGAAGCAGAAGGAGGAGGAAATCAGCCGGCTGAAGAAGCTCAAGCGCGAGCAGATTAAGGCCAAGCTGCGCCAAATTGCAGGTGTGCACACGCATAGACGCAGAGAAAGCTGAACAGAGAGGAGAGAGAGAGGGAGAGAGGGAGAGAGGGAGAGAGAGGGAGAGAGGGGGAGAGGGAGATAGGGAGAGAGGGAGAGGGAGACACACACAAATACACACGCACACACATACACACATACGTACAGGTACACAGCAGTGTTCATGTACTCACACGCTCTCCTTCACCCGCCTTGCCTTCTGCCTGTGTGTGTGTGTGTGTGTGTGTGTGTGTGTGTGTGTGTGTGTGTGTGTGTGTGTGTGTGTGTGTGTGTGTGCGTGTGTGTGTGTGTGTGTACAGAGATCAGCGGACACGACCCCGCGGCGCTGGAAGGCCTCGACTTGGACCTCGATGCCGAATTCGATCCAGACAAATTCAACCAGCAGCTCGAGGTGAGATGGTGGCGATAATGATGGTGATGGTAGTGGTGGTGGCGTGTGCGTACTTTCTTTGGGGGTTCGCAGTCAGCATCCTCTCAAACCCATCCATACACAGACACAGACACACACACACACATTTTCACAAACGCATGCACAAACGCATTCATAGACACAAGCACCCAGACACAGACACATATTCACAAACGCATTCACAAACGCATTCACACACGCTCCCGCTGTGTTTTATGTTGTATGTGGTGGTAGAAACTATTCAACGACGACTACTATGGGGACGAGGAGAAGAAGAAACCAAAGCTGCCTGAGGATGTGGACGCAGCCGTGTTTGACGACGCATACCCGCCCGTCCCCGAAGCCGGCGAGGGCTATGGTGAAGAGGGCGGCGAGGCCTACGAGGGCTATGGTGAAGAGGGGTATGAGGGCCATGGTGAAGAGGGGTATGAGGGCGGTGCAGACGGATATGAGGGCCATGGTGAAGAGGGGTATGATGGTGGCGATGGCAGCTTTGCACCTGTACCGGAGGGCGAGGCAGCGACCACCGCTGTTTCGCTCGAGGAAGGCGCAAAGACTCTCCAGCACCTCAGCAAGCGACAGGTGCGTACTCTGTGTGTGTGTGTTTGTGTATGTGCGTGTTTGTGTGTGTGTGTGTGTGTTTGTGTATGTGCGTGTTTGTGTGTGTGTGTGTGTGTGTGTGTGTGTGTGTGTGTGTGCGTGTGTGTGTGCGCGTGTGTGTGTTTCAAAGCGCGGCTTGCGTTGTAGCCCTGTTGATCGGCGTCTGCCATTTCCGTTTGTTCTTCTCACGACCACTCATCCATCCACCCACCCACCCGGCCACACGGCCACCACCCGCAACCACGCTGGCCGCTGTCCGTGTGCATGTGTGTTTGCGCGAGCAGCGGAAGAAGCTTGAGCGGCAGCGGCGGCGGGAGGCGAAGCAGAAGGCGAAGAAGGGCGTGATCACCGATTTGCAGACGCAGGACGATGTACACGTCGACGACACCAAGGTTGCATCAGCCTGCTCACACGCCCGTGTTGAAATGTCGCCTTTTGTGTCCACACCACCCATCTGTGCCCACCGCCCTCTCTGCTCCTTTCCCCCTTCCTTCTTCCGCTTTTCCTTGCTTTCCTCACACACCCTGTCCTCACACCTCCTGTCCCCACCTCTGCCAGACGGTGAACGACTAGCTCGACTTTGAGGACATTGTTGGCGGGATGCCGACGCGCTTCAAGTACCGCCAGGTCATGCCCAACGACTACGGCCTCTCCACAGAGGAGGTGAGCCCACGCGCTCGTTCGTGGGGCGTGTAGTGCGTGTGGTGTGACATATGTGGTGTGTTTGGTGTGGTGTGACATGTGTGGTGTGTTTGGTGTGTATGGTGTGATGTGATGTGTGCACACACGTGCACACCCTCCAACTGCCTGCTCGCTTCCCCATCGCCCCTTATCACCATCACCACCACCACCACCTTGACATGGTCGCCAGATCCTGCATGCTGAGGATAAGGAGCTCAACGGGTGGGTGTCGGTGAAGAAGCTGTCAAAGTACCGCAGCGAGGACGAGGAGAAGCACGACGTCCGCAAGTACAAACGCCGCGCAAAGAACAAGGTAACAGCAGTACATACATACATGCATGCGTGTGTATGTGTATGTGTGTGTATGTGTTTGGGAGGTGTATTGTTTGTGCGGGTGAGTGTGTATGTGTATGTGTTTGGGCAGGTACACTGTTCGTGCTTGTGTGCGCGCGCGTGTGTATCGTTCGTCTTGCAGCCTGCACACACACACTGGTGTGCAAGTCTCTCTGTGTGTTTTTCTCTGCTTCCCCTCCCTTTGTCTGTCTCTTTTTCCGCCTTTGCGTGCGCTCTCTCCCCCTCTTGCCCTTGTTTGCGCTGTTTGTTGCTGTCGCAACAATCTGCCTGCTCGTGGTCGCTGCGGCTCACCATCAGCGTGGTGTGTGTGTGTGTGATTGTGATTGTCTCTTCTGCGCTGCCCTGCATAGGTGAAGAAGCTGCAACAACTGCCGTCCATAGCACCGCTGCTCAAGCAAAAGGACAAGAAGCAGGTGAGGTCATTGCTTCTCCGCTCCTGGCACTGTATTCGCAGCGTGAGCGCAAACACAACCAGACAGGCACACACACACACACACACACACACACACACACACACACACGCGCGCTTGCTTGCGCTTGTACACTTGTACGCACATAGGCACGCGCTTGTACACACCCACACACACACCCACACCCCCAACCCCAACCCCCCCCCCCCCCACCCACACACACTCACAATGTCTCACATATTGCGCTTGCTTGTTTGATTGCATTGTAGCACAAGAAGAAGGACAGGCACGAAGGTGCTGACGGCAATGACAAGGCGGCAGACGCAGCAGAGGAGAAGGAGGAGAAGAAGCACAAACAGCAAGAGGATGATGGCGATGATGGTGCAGGCGAAGGGGATGAGCAGCCGAGGAAGCGGGCAAAGACAGAGAAGAAGAAGAAGAAGAAGACAAGCAGCGGCGCAGATAAGGACGCAAGCAGCACGAAGAAGAGGAACGGCAAGAAGAAGGGCGACAAGGGAGGCAAGAAGAGCGATAAGGGCCACAGGAAGGGGAAGAAGGCGAAACCCGCCAACATCTCCGCTTCTCGCTTGAAACTGTACAAGTCGCTCGCAACCAGGCCGCCAGAGTGATGTGGCCGAATGTCGACTGTGCTGTGTTGGAAGCGTGTGTCATAAAAGTAAACCGTTCTTCATTCATGGTGAGGCAGAGGTGACATGATGTCAAGTTGATTGATAGGAGAGAGAGAGAGATGGGTGCTAGTGTGAGGTTTTCAGCACTCACACACGCGCTCTTGTGTAACAATCACGCCTATTTTCAATACAGTTGTTTCTCCCATTCATTACTTTGTTTGGTAGTGACAGTAGTTGTGTTGGTTGGTCTTTACTTGGTTTGTAAGCATCAGTCAACGCGTGGTGGGATCGCAGCAGCCAAGCCATGAAAACAGAGGCGCGCAACATCCACACCCCACAGTTGAGCGAGGACACCCCGAGTCAAGGGCCAACACGCATGGTAAACATTATCAGACTGGGCAATTAATCGAGATTGCCACCGAGATGAGCAGCATCATCGGCATGACACACAGCGAGAGAGGCAAGTCAATCAGACCTGATTCAACCAAACCACGAACGAAGAGGGGAAGCAGCAAGCCCAACGGACTCGTGTGTGGGAGAATATTGACAAAGGAGCAAAGGAGGGGAGATTAGAACAAGTGCCTCAGTACGCACATGTACACTGACGTAATGTAACACACAAAAGGCAAGTGTGGAGGTGCTTAAGAGCGCTCGCCACGGATGCGGCGGGCCAGCTGGATGTCCTTGGGCATGATGGTGACGCGCTTTGCGTGGATGGCGCAGAGGTTGGTGTCCTCAAAGAGGTTGACGAGGTAAGCCTCGGCGGCCTCCTGCAGGGCAGAGACGGCGGTGGACTGGAAGCGGAGGTCGGTCTTGAAGTCCTGGGCAATCTCGCGGACGAGGCGCTGGAAGGGGAGCTTGCGGATGAGCAGCTCGGTGGACTTCTGGTAGCGGCGGATCTCACGCAGAGCGACGGTACCGGGGCGGAAGCGATGGGGCTTCTTCACGCCGCCAGTGGAGGGGGCGGACTTGCGGGCAGCCTTGGTGGCGAGCTGCTTGCGGGGGGCCTTGCCACCGGTGGTCTTGCGGGCGGTCTGCTTCGTGCGGGCCATTGTGCTGGTTGTGAAGTTGAAGTTTGGGAGAAGGAGGAGGTGACGAGCGAGGGAGGGGGTCCTGGTTTGCTTGCTTGCTGGGTTGGAGATGCGGATGATAAATGACAAGAAGAGGTGTGCGTGGTCGCACTTGTAACGGCGCGGTGCACATCTCAGGTTTCGCGCGAGAATCAGTTTGGCGGGAAAGCGGGGAATGTCGTGTTTGGTGGTGATTGTGCGCTTAGCGCATCTCCAAATCGCAATTGGCGCTGAATCCACACAATAAAAAATAATGTTCGTTATTCTGCACCCTTGAAAAAGACATTGATTCAGACATTGACGAAAATTATGAAAAGCAGCGTTCGAACGAATCACCCGCCACAATTGCCGTTGCTTTGTTGCTGGCTCTGCGCCGCGCCGAAAAGCGCACACAGCAGCACTGCTGCCTGCCTTCCGTGGTTCAAGTGGCAGTTGGTGTGTGGTGAAGTTCATTTTCATCAGCTACTTCCACCAGCCAAGTCAAGCACATCCCCGCACCCCACGTCTTCGACGACTACCACCACCACAGCCAACTCTCCAAGATGCCACCCAAGGTTTCCAAGAAGGGCGAGAAGAAGGCAGGCAAGGCCAAGGCCGCCGCCGGTGAGGGCAAGCGCCGCAAGAAGCGCAAGGAGTCCTACAGCATCTACATCTACAAGGTCCTGAAGCAGGTCCACCCCGACGTCGGCATCTCCTCCAAGGCCATGAGCATCCTCAACTCGTTTGTCAACGACATCTTCGAGCGCATCGCCAACGAGGCATCCCGCCTGGCCAAGTACAACAACAAGTCCACCATCTCCTCCCGGGAGATCCAGACGGCCATCCGCCTGCTCCTCCCCGGTGAGCTTGCCAAGCACGCCGTCTCCGAGGGCACCAAGGCCGTCACCAAGTACACCTCCGCCGGTGGCAAGTAAACGACCACAACAACAACAACGTCTTCTTCACAGACTTTGTAGTTGTATGTGTTGCCTTTGCTCTGTTCTTGAGCCAAGTGCGCTGTTCGTGCATGTGCAGTGAGCATGTGCTTGTTCTGCCTCTTTGCTTGTTTCCCCTCTTTGTAATTCTCTTCTCTCTTCCCCCTCTTCTCTCTCTTGCCTTCTCTCAAATAATGTGAGTCCTTGTGCCGCCGTGGTTCTTCTAATTGGCTGGCGCTACTGCTACTGCTGTACAGTATGCAAACATGCTCTCTCGATCCCCCTTGTGCATTTCCCGCTGTTTGTGTCGTGTGGTGGCTGTTTGCTTCAGCAGCAGCCGTGTTTGTTTGCTGGCCGAGCCGCTCGCCTGTACACCGCCGTTGTGGTCTTGTGTTTTGTCGCGCACTTCCTCCCCCTTGTGTGGGGTGGGATGAGTTGCAGCGCAGACCAAGATGTCCGTCGCGTGTTTGCTTGTCGAGCATTGTGTGTGTGTCAGCGTTGAGAAAAGCGGCACGCTCTTGCTGAACCTGCACCATTACACAGACCAAACCGAACGCTTGCCAATCGAATCGCGACAAGGAGAGAGAGAGTGTGTGTGTGTGTGCGTGTTGTTGAGGGCGTGTTGAGCCGAAGGAAGCGTGGCTGAGCGGAATTGTTTGTGAGGAGCGTGGACGCGCTTCAATCCTTGTGCAAAGATTGACTGTGTTTTCCAATGTTTATCTGACTTCGCCACCAAGGATGGTGTCGTTGTCGCTTTGGTGTGATGTGCAAGGTGCAGACAGTGCGTCAATGGCAGTGCAATGATGATGTGACATGACAACCACAACATTGATCAAGCACCACACAACCACCGCCACGGACTGGACCTACCCACACGGCCGGTTGTTGAGCAAGACAAGAAGAAAGGCAAGCACCAAGCGTTGGCGAGGCATTGCCATTTCTTTTCCTTGTTATCAGCGGCAGCAGCAGCGGCAGCAACAGTGAACGAAGAGCAAGATGAGGATCGAAGCAGACGTCAAGCTCGACTACAAGGTGTGTGTGTGTGTGTGCGTTGGGGGATCATGGTTATTGTGGTTGTGCTTGGTGGCTGACGAACGGCGCATGTGCCAATTGCTCGCTTGTAGGATGTGCTGATTCGTCCAAAGCGCAGCACCCTGCGCTCGCGCGCCGAGGTGGACCTGGATCGCAAGTACACCTTTCTCCACAGCAAGAAGACATGGACAGGTGAGTCGTGTGCATTATGTGTGCTGATGTGTGATGTGTGATGTGTGGTGTGTGACGTGTGCTGTGTGCGTGTGTACATGGGTTTGTACATGGGTGATGATAGATGTGTGACGTGTGCTGTGTACTTGTGTTGCATGCGTGTTTGGTGTGAGCCTCCCCCAAACTCCCTGACCCCTCTTCTCGCAACGACGCTCATCGGTGCTTGGTCTCGTCATGCGTACCGCAGGTGTTCCCATCGTTGCCGCCAACATGGACACCACTGGTACGACCTCTGCTGTGGTCTCAGTTGGAGCTTGAACACCATCCACGCATTTTGGCGGGCTTGTCCTCAACGCAAGTTCTGCTGATGTTGGGTTACTTGTCACTGCTCTTGTGACCGGTCTTGTTTCGACAGGCACGTTTGAGGCGGCGCAGGTCATGTCGAAGCACAAGATGCTGGTTGCTGCGTCCAAGCACTACGAGGCCGCCGATTGGCAGGCGCAGTCTGACGACGTGCTTGAGGTGTGTCCTGACAAGCGGCTCGTGTCTGGTAGTGAGGCTGCTTTTGAATGGCCCGCTGGGACAGTGTGTTTGCATGAGCATGCACCGGCACACGCACGCACGCACGCACGCACGCACGCACACTCACACACACACACACACACACTCACACACACACACACACACACACACACACACACACACACACACACACACACACACACACACACACACACAC